CTCATCTACAGGCTAATACAAATAAGAATAATTAATGCTAATTAACCACCAGGAGCAGCTCCCTCCCGGCTCCGGGGCTCCCCCGGCTCTCATTAACTCCAGCCCCGATGCAGGGGTGACGGGCTGCGCCCAGAGGAAAGTGGGGGGTCAGAGGGGTCCCCCCAAGTTCTAATTCCCTCGGAGGATGCCGGGATCAACCTTTATCCACTGGGAAAACCCCCAGCACCCCGGACCCCCCAGCCTTGCCAGGGATGGGGTATTTTCGGCAAGAAAACCCCGATTAACCCAATTTTTTAATTATTCGGGGCATTTTGGGGGTACCTTTTTTAAACTCTCCCGCCGGTGCCAGCCTGCCAAATCTCTCCCCCGCCTCCCGAGCCGCTTCTTTATAAATATTGGAGCGGCGATATCTCGTTAGTAATTAACAACCGGTTAATTAAGCTGCATCGCGCGCCCGACCGAGCGCGGTTCCTCTCGACGAGGGGCTCCGTAGCTTCTGGAAATTCATCCGGTAGCACCCGAGTGTGTCGATCCCCCACCGAGCTGGGGGGGCAGGAGCTCAGTGAGGAGCAGGAGGAGGTGGGAAGGGTTTGGGGGAGTCCCCAAAAATATTTTGGGAGAGGAAAAAGGGGATGAGGTGGTTTTTTGGGGGACGCTCAGTCCGGAGTTACACAGATGCTGCTTGGGGGAAAGAGCTGGCGGTGCCAAGCATTGCTGGGACCCCCCAAAATTTGGGGCTTGGGACACACACACACAAAAAAAAAGCAATAAAAGAAAATTTAAACTGATTGGATGGAGAAAAAATGCTGAGCAGCTCCTGCCCCCGCTGCGCTCCGGGCTCAGGGGCTTTTGGAGCCGAGGGGTGAAGCACAGTGGCTATTCCAGCACTCCTGTTTTCCCCCTACCCGTGTTTTTTTGGGGGGTTGGTAACTCAGTTTTGGGTTAATTTGGTGTCATACATCCTCGGGACGGGGATGCACCACGGGGCTTGATGCTGGGAGAAAATGATGGGAAGCGGGAGCGGGGCGGGATGAATGCCGGCGAGGATGCCGGCTGCAGTGACACCCAAGGGAATTGAGCTGGGGTGATATTTCGGGGGTCACAGCCACGTCTTGTGCCTCCAGTTGTGGCTGGGGAGGGGGACACGGCGTGGGAAAAGGGCAGTGTTGCGGGAATCACCCGAAAACTGCGGGGATGGAGAGGCTGCGTCTTGGGATTGGGAGGATTTTCAGATGGATGGGTTCGGGGGGGGGATGCTGGAGCAGGTTTTGGGGGCAAGGATGGAGCCAACCTTGGGGTGTCCCCCTCCATGGTGTCCCCACACAGCCTGGCTGGAGACGGGGATGTCTCTCCCGACACAGCGGCGGCAGAGCTCCAGGCCGGGGGTGCAGCCCCCCAAAAGTGGGGCAAGCGCTACCCCCCTCCAGGCCACCGCAGACACTGTCCCCTGTGAAGAAGTCCTGTCCCCCCCAGGGAATCCCAGCGGGGACAACGGCATGGCCAGGGAGGGCAGGACACCCTGGAGACACTGTGGTGACACCCCAAGGCACCCCAGAGGCACGGTGGAACATGTCTCCGAGGCCAAGGAAAGGACTGAGGGGATCCTTGGGGACGCATTAGGGCAGCATGGGTATGGTGGCAGAGCGTGTCCCCAGGGCTGGGAGAGGGACAGGACACCCGGGGGAGCATCTCCAGGGATGGGAGAAGGACGGGGCACCCCGGACGTGCACTCGGAGTCCATCATCGCTACTGGGAGAAGGATGGGGCGTCCTAGAGGTGCATCTCCAGGGCTGGGAAAGGGATGGGGCATGCTGACGATGCACCTCTAGAGCTGGGAGCAGGACAGGGCACCCCGGGGGTGCATCTCCATGGCCAGGAGAAGGATGTGGCACCCTGGGGATGCACCCAGAGCTCTTAATTGCCACTGGGAGAGGGACAGAGCATCCTGGGGGTACATTGCTGGGGACGGGAAAAGGATGGGGCACCGCGGGTGTGCACCCAGAGCCCATCGTCACCACCAGGAGAAGGATGGAGCACCCCAGGGGTGCAACTCCGGGGCTAGGAGAAGGACAGGGTGCCTCGGGGGTGCATCTCTGAGGCTGGGAGAAGGATGTGGCACCCCAGGGATGCACCCAGAGCCCATCATCGCCACCGGGAGAAGGATGTGGCACCCTGGGGATGTATCCCTGGGGCTGGGAAAGGGACAGGGCACCCCGGGGAAGCAGCCAGAGCTTGTCATCAGCACCGGGAAAAGGATGCAGCATCCTGAGGGTTCCTCTCCAGGGCCAGAAGGATGGAGCACCCCGGGGGTGCATCCCTGGGGCCGAGAAAAGGATGTGGCACCCTGAGGAAGCACCCAGCGCCCTTCTCTAGTGCTCGGAGGGGGGTGGAGGGGCAGCGAAAGCTCCCGTCCCCGCGGTGGGGCTGGTAGCCGGGATGGCCAGCCCTTACCTGACCGTTCTTGCAGAGGTCGGCCCACATGCTGGTGCCGTCGCCGCCGCGCATGAGGACGTGGTAGGTGAAGAAGTAGGTGCCAGGGATGGCGCAGGTGAACTTGCCGGAGGCGGCATCGTAGCTGTTGCCCAGGTTGGTGACCACGTCGTCGAACTTGAGGACCTCGTAGCCCTCGTGGGGATTCTTCAGGCCGGCGTAGAAGGCGACGTGTGGCACCGTGCTGTAGGTAGCCGCGCTCACCGCACCCGTAGCCCCCGGTCCCGGTAATCCCGGTGGTCCTGGTCGTCCCGCTTCACCCCGTGCCCCCGCAGGTCCCGGCGG